AAGCGGCCGCGGCCCCAGCTGCGTCCCCACAGTGCCTGGCCGGGTCCTTGGGGAGTCTCTGCCCACCATGGAGCTCCTGCCACTGCTGCTGGTGCTGCTGGCTGTCACCCCGGCCACTGGCATCCAGGAGGTGGCACTGGACATGGCCCCCAACGCCTTCGATGACCAGTACCAGGACTGCAGCAATGAAATGGTGGAGGAGCTGCTGGCGCTCAACCGCTCTGAGTTTGCCCTGAACAGCAATTACTCCAAGGCCTGGGACGATGCCACAGTCAAATGGCGCAGACACCCATCCCTGGGGTCACTGCGTTGGAAGGAAGAGGCCATCGCCCTCATGGCATATACACTGGAGACAGCTCTGTACAAGGACTTCAACAGGGCTGTGCCCGTGGCCGGGCGCTCCCGCCAGGAATACCTGGACAACTTCCCCTTCAAGGTGGTGCATTTCCTGCTGACCGAGGCCCTGGATGACCTGCGGGATGCCCAGACCCACCCTCGCTGCCTCCACGTGTACAGGGGGGTCCGAGGTGTCCGGTTCACTGCCCAGCCCGGGGATATCGTCCGCTTTGGCCAGTTCACCTCCGCTTCCCAGAGCAAAGATGTGGCCGAGACGTTCGGCACCGACACCTTCTTCGAGCTGGACACCTGCCATGGCGCTGCCATCCGGGACTTCTCCTTCATGCCCTGGGAGGAGGAAGTCCTCATCCCGCCCTTCGAGACCTTTAATGTCACCAGTGTCACCCGCCAAGGGGCCAAAACCCGCATCCAGCTCCGCCCCCACGGCGTGTACAGCAAATACGACTGCGCGTGGCTCCGAGGTGACACCCCTGGGGTGGGGACACCTGAGGTTGGGTGCAGGGACAGGAGCAGGGGTGGCAGCAGGGCACTGGCTCTTTCGGGACGGGAGGTCAGTAGTGGGGCAGCAGATGGGGGTGGCAGAGCTTTGTGTGTGGCACAGCTCCAGCTGCTCTCCTGGCATGGAATGGGATAGGAAGGGATGGCGTGGTATGACACGACATGGCACGGTGTGACGTGGTGTAGGACAGCTGGGTCTGGCCTGGCATGGGCTGGGGGGACACCCCACAACTCCACTGACCTCCCCTTGGATCCTGCCCACCCTGAGTCCCCCTTTCCCTTGCCCAGCTCCCTCTGACTTTTTTCTCCTGCCCCCACAGGCAGCAGCACCCACAGGGAACCCCCAAGCCTCACTGCGCTCCTCCTGGCAGCCCTGGCCCTGGCAGTGGCCACTGGCACCCCCTGAGCCACGAGGACACCGCTGTCACCTCTGCCACCGTGTCCGGCCAAGACGAGGGGTCAGGAACGGAGCCACCGGTGTCACCAGGACAGCAGGACGGGCTGGGGGGCACGGGGACCCCCCGCTGCAGGGGGACACTGGATGAGCCCAGCAGACGCCCTCCCTGAGCCATGGCTGGGGTGTTGGGGTGCACCTGAGGGGGGTCATGGTGGGGGGTAAAAGGAGGATTTGCTTCTCTTTTGGGCTTTTTTTCTCCCTTCTAATATTTTAACTTTTCTTTGCAATTATTAAAGTGGTTTTAGCACAGCCCATGAGTTTCCTTCTTATTTTAACCCACCTGATCCTGCTCCAGTGACTTTTGCCAAAGGCCTGGAGTGACAGGACAAGGGGGAGTGGCTTCCCATGGACAAGGTTAGATGGAATATTGGGAAGAAATTGTTCCATGGGAGGGTCATGAGGCCCTGGCACAGGTTGCCCAGAGAAGCTGTGGTTGCCTCATCCCTGAAAGTGTTCCAGGCCAGGTTGGATGGGGCTTGGAGAAACCTGGGATAGTGGAAAGTGTCCCTTCCCAAGGCATGGAGTAGAACAAGACGAGCTTTTAAGTCCCTCCAACCCAAATCATCCTGGGATTCCACAGTTCCATGATAATATGGAAGAAGAAATCCTTTTCAGCTTTTTTCCATACTTTGGCTCATTCTTCCATCCTTCTTTTTAACATCTCTTAGGTTTATTTCCCAGTTTTCTTCCTCATATTACAACAAACCTCATCTTGATTCCTGCAGATCTGTGCCTCCACCTGTATTAAAGTGAAAATCACTTCTTTTTTTTTTTCCAGCATCAACCCATCTTTCTGCACATCCCATTCCCAAGGTATTAAATAAACACTAAAATAATCAGCCGAGAGGCTGCTCAGGATGGGCCTCCACATCTCAGTTCTGCAGCCGAGGGGGGCACAAACTCCAGCTTCTCTTCGGTGGAGGGATCTGAAATTCCAGCTCTCCTCAGAATTCCAGCCTCCCCATCGGCCCAGAGGCCTCTCACTGGGGAGGGGAAGCAGCTGCAGTGGAGGTGGGAGAAGTGCCAGACCCCAGAGCCTGGTGCCAGTGGGGCAGGACTGGCTCCAGGCTTTTGAGCTGGATCATTCTGGGGGGAAAAGGAGCTCAGGGGCTCCTGCTCCTCTGCTGAGACATCTTCTTCCTCCATCGGGATTGCTTCCCTGAAAAACCAGGCTGGAGGTCTCGTCCCCAGTGGATACGATGCTTGAGTGAGCTCAGTCAGGTGTTCCATGATTGCAGGAGACTGAATTCACCTGAAACTGGTTCCAGTCCATTCCTGCAGCTGTCACTCCTGTTCCCCCCATCCTTCCTGCCCCAGCCTGGAAACGCTTTCTCCCTCAAGTCCCTTTGGTTGAGATAATCACCAGCTGAAAGCCTGCATCTGGACACCCCACCAGAGCTGCATTCCACTGGCATTTCCTTTGGCCCAGGGTCTGGATGCTGTTCCTGATCTAGTCCCTGCTGCTGAAAGTCCACAAGCCTAAATTCTGTATGCCCTGTGGATTCCCAGTGCATTCCTGCTTGGTAGATGAGCAGGAAGAGCTCAAATCCCTAGTGAAGCAGCAGCCTGAAGCAAAGCAGCTGCACAAGGAGGTTCCTCGGTGTCTCAGGGGGTGCCTGGACCAACCCTCCACATCAGCTTCATTCAGGGTCAGTGGTTTGACTCAGTGGGAATAAGTGAAAATCCTGATTTGCCAGCGTTTTCCAGTGTGTGCTGCCCCGTGTGGAGATCTTAATTTCCGTGGCTGTTGGGAGAGGGCTGGGATTGCCAGCACAGGTGTGGCTCCCTGTCCTTCCAAAACCCCCTCCCTCGGGAGGAGACTCGGCAGCACCAGAGCCGGTGAGTTTGTGTTGGTGCTCTGGAGAGTCCTTCACCCGCAGCCAAACCTGCAGGGGGGGCTGAAATCACCTCAAATTACAGCCAAGGATGTTGGTTTAGGTTTGGGGTTTTTTTGTATGAGCTGATTACCAGCCCTTTTCCTGGCAGGAGTGGCCACTGAAGCCTCTGTCATCTGACAATTCCCACTTGGATCTCATCCAGAGCCTGGAGCAGAGCTCCAGCTCTATCCCACCTGTCCCCAGTGACATCAGAGGTCTTGGGGATGGTCCTTGGTTCCTCCCTCCTGCAGAGTCCCAGAGCCACTGCTGCAGGCACAGGTCTCTCTCACACGAGCCTTTTGCACTGGGGGTGCCCTAATTTCATGGAATCCTGGAATGGGACCACAAAGCCCATCCAGTCTCAACTCCCCGCCAGGGGCAGGGACACCTTCCACTATCCCAGGTTACTCCCAGCCCCATCTAACCTGATCTTGAACACTTCTAGGGATGGGGCCAGCACCACCTCCCTGGGAGGGAAGGAGAACGTGGATATGGATGTATTCCATGAATATATTTTATGGATCCTTGTGATCAGGGCTCAAACCCCTTCATGCTTCCACTGCTAAGAGGCTTTGGTTGCTTCCGTGTTTATTTTCCCCAGCTCAGGTGGTCCGGGGTCCACGGCCACCCTTGGACAGGAGGGCACAGCAGGTCGTCCCGGCGGCGCCGGGGGCTCCGTGCTGGTGTCACCAGTGCCACCCGCTGGGCACACTGGTTCTCCCGGAGCAGCTGCTCCTGCTGATCCTGCAGCCGGATTTTGGCGTCCCTGAGGACCTGGGAGTGTTGGATGAGGCCGAGCAGCTCCTGGCGCAGGAGCCTGTTCTCTGCTTTCACCTGCTCCACGTGCTGGATCAGAGCCCGCAGCGCCACCTCCTCGGCTCTCCAGGTGAGCCGCTGCATCCTCCGCTGCAATTCCCGCTCGCAGGCGGCCTTTTCCCGCAGGAACCTGCTCTTGATGCTGCGGGTTTCCTCGGCACA